AAAAAAAAAAAAAAAAAAGGATGCTTGCACCTAAGGATCCCATAACAACCTAACACCTCTCCCCTGGCTGCTTCCAGTTCCAGAGACCTGTGTGGCCACTTAAGAGAAGACCCCAGAGGTAAGCAGCGCCAAGGCAGGGGGGGTTCTGTAGCACCCCAGAGGCTGGGTTCTCCTGCAGTCAGAACAAACTCTGCTGCCAGAAGGCTTTCCATGACACACAGGTGAATATGGCAGAAATGAATAAAAACCTCATTTCCTAACCACTTCCAACCGCTCAATAATTAGACTTCTTGGGGTAGCTCTTCCTGGAATTAAGAAGCATCTAAGTTTGCCTAAAACATCCCCAGCTTATGACCTTCCATCTGCCCTAATGTCCCTCTTAATGGTGCATCTGCAGCTGGAGTACCAGGAGAGATGGCTCCCAGTGCAGCGCCAGTGTCCCTCCATGCTGCCCTCCCCTCCCTCCTCCAGTGGCTCCCTCACTCCCTTCCCCATTCCTTCTTTCCCTTCCTCCTTCCTTCCTCTCCCTCCCACCACACCATGTTCCTTCCTCCCTCCCTCCTTTCCTTCCACAGACATTTGACCCTCTACTTCAGGGGTCCTCAAACTTTTTAAACAGGGGGCCACTTCACTGTCCCTCAGACCACTGGAGGGCCGGACTACGGGCCCTGGGACGAGTTGGCTGCTAAGCAGGACAGGAAGGGGTGGCAAAAACACCCGGTGGGCCGGATAAACGTCCTAGGTGGGCTGCATGTGGCCCGGGGGCCGTAGTTTGAGGATACCTGCTCTACCGTATGTCAGGTACACCTACTTTCAAAATATTTCTGCAATATTTGAAAGGATCTTATTTTTCTAAAGCTTGTCTCTTCGCTGACATTTGCCAACCTACCCTGAGGGTGGCGTTGAGCTCGTCCTTCTCCTTTATCCTGTCCTCATAAGCCAGCAACAATGGTGATAGGCGCTTCATATCCACCTGAGGTGAGAGAGGGCGGAAAAGAGCTTGAACATCTTTGTCACATCTGAGCACAATCAGCAATGTTTTTAAAAGGCAAGAAGACATACGGTTATTTTGGAATTGTTTTTTTTTTTTGCAGTTTTTGGCCGGGGCTGGGTTTGAACCCACCACCTCTAGCATATGGGGCCAGTGCCCTACTCCTTTGAGCCACAGGTGACACCCAAATGCTTAATCGGGGTTTTTTTAATTTTTTTTTTTTTCAGTTTTCTGCTGGGGCTGGGCTTGAACCTGCCACCTCCAGCATATAGGGCCAGCGCCCTACTCCTTTGAGCCACAGGTGCTGCCCTTTGGAATTGCTTTTAATAACTATGCAAGTACAGCCCTGAAAATATGAGTGTGAAATTAAACAAGTCCCACTTACCAGCCAGGGTGGTATAGGGCCCTTTGATGGGAGGCCTTCAATATTTAAACTCTAAGAATAAAACACAGAGTGAAGACAAATTAAGCAACACTTCCTCTGAAATGGCAAGTCTAGACAGTCTAATCTAGACTGGACATTATCAATCCACGCATCTATATGGGTGTGTGTTTATGTATATATACAGTACATATGAGAACATTTTTTCCTGTTGTGTTTGAGGGTAATTTGCAGATACAATGCCCCTTTGCTCTAACTACTTCAGGGTGTATTTTCTATAAACAAAAACATTCATTTACTTAACCACAGCGCAATCATGAAAATTAGGAAACCAACACAGAGACAGAAAAGGTTCTTTTTCTTTTTTGAGCAATTTAGTCATTTAATAATTCCATTTAAATTTCAAACTCAGAATAAGTCAGTATCTGCTAACTCCACTTATTTATTCTAATTTGTTTAGAGACATTCTGACTCTCACCCAGGCTAGAGGTTGCTGTGATCACTGGTGTGATCATCGTTCTTTGCAGCCTCAAAGTCCTGGGTTCAACTGACCCTCCTGTCTTGGCCTCTTGAGTAGCTGGGACTACAGATGTGCCACTATCCCTGGCTAATTTTCTTAAAACCTTTTATGAGACTGGGTATCACTACATAGTCTCAAACTGTGAGACTAGGGATCCTCCCACCTCAGCCTCCAGAGTAGCTGGGGTTATAGGCATGAGCCAATTGCCTGGTATTCTATTTTCTCATCTATAGACTGTCTTCTGATTTCAACTATTTCCCAATTTTTTTTTGAGACAGAGCTTCATGCTGTTGCCCTGGGTAGAGTGCCGTGGTGTCATAGCTCACAGAAACCTCCAACTTCTGGACTTCAGCAATTCTCTTGCCTCAGCTTCCTAAGGAGCCAGGAGTATAGGTGCCCACCACAACACCCAGCTATTTTGTTGTTGTAGTTGTCATTGTTGTTTGGCAGGCCCAGGCTGGGTCTGAACCTGCCAGCTCTGGTGTGTGTGGCTGGTGCCTTAGCCCTGTGAGCTACAGACGCTGAGCCCTAATACCTTTTTCTGATTCAGGATCCAATTGAGGGTCACGTGTTGCATTTAGCTGTGAAGTCTTTTTAGTCTTTCAAAGTCTGGAGCATACCCAGTAATTTTTTTATTGGATGGTGAACTTTTTCAGCGTTACGTTGTTGAGTGTCTGGATTTTGTTGTCTTCTTTTAAGAGTATTAGTTTATTTTTCTGCAGGCTCCTAGAACAGGTGTGAGCCACTGTACCTGGCTTTGAACATCATTTTTTAATATCAAATCATAATAAAGAAGACCCTCTCAGGATTGGAAATCAATTCAACAGTAAATGACTAAAAAATCTAAAAAGTCTAATTTATTGTGATGAGAAATTTTACCTCTTCCTTGGACAGATGTCTGAATTTTGTTTGATAACGACTCAGTTCTACATTCAAACGATGGACAGTCATTTTCAACCCATCATTCTCGTCCACCAATTCTTGAGCTTGTTTTCGTAGATAAAGTAACTCAGGTGTGGTAACTAGTAAATTTAAAAAAAAAATTAAAATTATACTCTAAGAAATGATATCAATTTATGAGGATTTTATGTAAATTGCTAATCATCTGCTTTTTCTTCTCTTTTAGACTCAGAAGAAGCAGTGAATGACTACACGTATAATATACGTAAATGAATAAAACTTGTGTTTTTAAACATTGAACAGTCAACATGCTACTGGAAATTTTTGCATATAAAATAAAGAAAAATAAAAATTTTAAGTTAGAAATGAATTGTCATTGTTTTGGATGATATAAAAATATGTGCTTTGAAAAATCATATAGAACAAATGGAAAATGTATTAGAACTAATAACCTTCCCACATACTATTAATAATAATGTTCTATTGGAAAACAATAGAAAATAGATCCCACAAAATAAAAGCACAAATATCATAAATTGTCTAGAAATAAATGTGTCTAGGATAAGAATTATGCAGGGCCTATACCAAGAAATTAATATGGCCTTTACTTAAATAAGAAATAGGAAAAGGAATATAAATAGGAAAAGGAATGGAGAAAATACTAGTAAATAGTCACATAACCTTAGAGTTAAAAAAGACTTGAACCAAGGGAATAAGTCATAAAAGAAAAATATCCTATAAGTTTAGCCAAATTATCAACAAACTAAGAAAATATTACCCACATGACAAAGGACTAAAATCTGTAAAATGTAAAGAGTTTCTATATATCAATAAGCAGTATCTCAATTTAAACTGGGCAACTTTATGAAGGAAAATGACCTGTAATGATATAAAAAAGAATTCACATTCATCAATAAAAGAAAAATTTCAAAAAGTGTGAGGATATTAATAAAACTTAAATATTACAACAAGATATTAGTAACATAAATATCAACGAGTATCACCAACATAAAATGTGAATCCTCCAAATAACTAACAGACTGAGGAAGTGGTGCCTGCGCCTGCTGAACGCGCGGGGGCGCTCGCCCACCTTCCCGGGCTCGCCCACCTTCCCGGGCTCGCCCTCCTTCCCGGGCTCGCCCACCTTCCCGCGCTCGCCCTCCTTCCCGGGCTCGCCCTCCTTCCCGGGCTCGCCCACCTTCCCG